GCTGCTGCTGCTGCTGCTGCTGCTGCTGCTGCAGTTGCTGCTGCTGCTTCTGCTTCTGCTGCAGTTGCTGCTGTCTTATCTGATTGCTTCTTTTCCTGCTGCTTCTTTTTAGGCTGCACAGATGCAGCAGCAGCAAACCATGGAGTTGTATAGGACGGCATGCAGACTTGTACCTTTGGAGCAGCTTGCTGCTGCTGCTGCTGCTGCTGCTGCTGCTGCTGCTGCTGCTGCTGCTGCTGCAGGGGAAGATAACGGACACCTATACAATATGCTGGCTCTAGTGTCTCTGTCTCCTTTAATAGATTTCCTCTTGATGAAGGATGGAAGCAAAAATGCACAGAATGGAGACGCAGCAGCACGCAGGTGTCTCCTTTTGTCTCCTTAATGCTTGTTTTATTTGCTGCTGCTGCTGCTGCTGCTGCTGCTGCTGCTGCTGTTGTCTGTTTAGTTGCTGCTGCCGTCTCTTTTGTTGCTGCTGATGTATCTGCTGCTCCTCCTTTTCTTAATTTTGTCCTTGGAGGTGCGGGGGGTGCCCTTGGAGTGCCCCATGGCTTGGTGTACCCCTCTGCTGCTGCTGCTGCTTCTGCTGCTGCTGCTGCTGCTGCTGATCCTTCTGTTGCTGCTGATGGTGCTGTAACTGCTGCTGCTGCTGCCCTGCTGCTGCGCCTTCTGTGCTTCTCTGCTGCCGGGTGCGAAGAAGCCTCCCTTGCAGCAGCAGGTTGCCGCGCCCCTTCCGGCTGCTGCTGCTGCTGCTGCTGCTGCTGCTGCTGCTGCAGCTCCCTCAATTGCTCAAGACGGCGGCGCCAGAAGAGAGGAACAGCAGGGGAACAAAACGACTCCAAATTTTCAGACAGTAAACCCGACTGCTGCTGCTGCTGCTGCTGCTGCTGATGGTGCTGCTGCTGCTGCTGCCGATTCTGCTGCTGCTGCAGTGCAGGAGAGGGTCTTTTCTGCGACGCTCTGTACATGCGCAAAACACAACAGATATTCAATTAGTATACATAGACATATACATATATATGTATATATATACGCATGCATGCAGGTATGTATATATTATGTATACAAGATCTATTCTAGCGAGCTGTCTATACACCGGAGGTGCGCATGCACTTCGTAGGTTTCCTGCTGCCTTCCGCTTACTCTCTTTGGCTTCTCCTGTGGCGCTGGGGTGTATAGGCACCTTCGTCCCATTCTCCTACCTCCCTATACACTCCAGAGAGACTTGGAGGCGAGAGGGCCCCCATGGACACACCGCCACCAGGGCATCTTTTGAATTCTAGGGGGCCCCTGGAGGCCCCGAAGTCTCCATGGAGCCCTTCACCTAGATGCAGTGCAGATAGGGGCCCCACAGGGGCCCCTCTCCGGCCGCCGTACCCTCCTGCCACAGGGGCCGTTGAGCCAAAGGAGGGCAAGAAGGGGGAACCTGGAGGAGAGGGAGAAGTAGCAGAGTCAGCAGCAGTAAGAAGAGGAGGGGCCCCCCTTCCTTGTTTCCACCTCTTCATGGGGGCCCTTAGACTTCAATGGGGGCCCCAAGACTGGGGCACCGTATTTGGAGGTATTTTTGGTGGCCCCTGCAGCGGCGGCCAGAGGGCCATTCGAGGGAATTTCTGAATATCTACCGAGGAGTGTGAAAGTTCGCCTTAAAAGTAAATAAAAATTTAACTTATTTAATTAAATATTTGAAGGGGAAAAGAAGATATGCATGCAACAGCAGCAGGCAACTTGCTCGAGTTGATGCGCGACCAGTGGACTGCTGCAGCAAAAGACTGCTCCTCTTGACGGTTTTTCTTTGTAAAAACTCAAAAATAACTCCAAATTATTTATATTTACTCATTTCTACATTTATTTCAACCTCAATAAGCCGCCAACGACCGCAGCTAGTCGCTCGCCTGGGGCCCCCGGGCTTACGAGCGGCCAAGGGGCCCCGGGGGCCCCCTACAGGAGGCGGTAAGACTCTAAGGTGTTGCATTGACTTATGTTGTTGTATTAAGCTGCATTAAATAAATTTTATTAATTAAAATTGACCATTTTATAGCAAAAGTATCTAAGAAGCCGAGTTATTGTCTATTAACCAGCCTCAGGGTGCGTGTGTTTATTGGTGGGGTTGTCCTGTTGCCAACAGGAAAGCCAACTAACCCGCACACACTGCAGCTTCAAGCTTGAGGGGGCCCCTTGGGGGCCCCCAGGGGGCCCCTCAAGCTGCAGTTTAGCGAGAAGGGATTTTAACAGATAATCCAAATGATGCTGCTACTGGGGCGTTGGCTACTGCTGCTACTGCTGCTCTTTTACTGCTGCTGCTACTCCCGCTGCTACTGCTGCTGCCTCTGCTGCTGCTACTGCTGCTGCTAGTGGACTGTAAACCCTAAACCCTAAATCTGTCTGTTGTTAACCGCCTCATTTCAATGCTCGATGTCCCCCCTTGCCAAGGGCACGTCAAAAGGGGCCCCTTGTGGGCCCCCCGGTCTCAAGGGGGCCCCTCAAAGGGCCCCTACCTGCC